AAATTTCGGCTGAATTGGAATTAGGACACACACATGAAGTGAAGCTTCGAAATGTAGCAACAATTTCTGGACAGTCGAAAACAACACGACTTTGTGTTGTTGTTTTCTTTTTTTTCGCTCGACGCAGCTGTGCGCCATTTGATGACGCTCCTCGATTTGTTTTTTTATTTTTTTTCCTTTTTTGCCATGCGGCAGCACCACTGCCCCGCCCATCCAGCCCCGCCCCTGCTCCGCATATATCATTTTAAATTTTGAAATGCCCCAAAGTTCGACACCTCGTCCCCCTAACCGCCCGTTCAACGCATACTTTTGTGGAGAGGATTCGATGTGAGTTCGTTGCCTAAGTCTTTTGTTTTGAATGCCTTTCGGGAGGGATAAACGATATACAGTTAGTAGTAGATCAACAAGGACTATATGGTAAGGTTACAATGTAACACCAAACAAATTAATTGAATAAAGATAAGAATAATACTAATCCACACTTTTTCCAACTATTAATGCAGATGGACTTTAAATTTGTTTCAAAAATAAGTTTTTAGTGTATACACATCGTTTCAAAAACATAGATAAATACAATAAATTAAGTGCAACAGATAAGCCAGAAATAAAATATATTGTTATATAAAATTTAATGAAATTTCAAGCTTATTAGGGGTGGGTTTCTTTCTCAATTTTTAGGATTGCATCATATGTATCGCTTGAAAAGAGTTTACAACCCTATAAGTTCTGTTATCTATGCAGAACAAGTGTAATAACAATTTCAGATGGTAGGGTGATAGGAATCGAATATATTCAGAAGAAAGTACTTGGGATTGCACTCCATAATCCTAGCGATCATTCATAGCCCTTCAAAATATATCGAATCACTCGTCTGTATCTATACATCTATGTATATCTGGCCATTTTCCAGGCGGCGTAATTAAGGTTCTAGACAGACGCATTCGGCATAGAGGAATGGAATCTTGGCCAGACATGGCAGATGCTCGAAACATTGTTGAGCCGAGACGATAATGATAATGATGCCGATGATGATGCGGCCGCCATGCTATCCTGTCATCTTGGCTCTTCTTGGCCTTCGTGTTGCTGTTGTTGCCGTTTGTCATTGAATTTCGGAAATCAAATATCTATGGCCGTGGCTCGGGGGTTGGTTTCTTCTAGAAATGGTTAACAACAGCCTGTTCGTGTGTGTCTGAGCCTTTTATACATATATATGTACGTACGATTGTGCGTGTGTATATGGAACACAATAAGCATTTTAGGATGCTGTCAAATGTTTGGTAATTAAAAAAGAAATTTCTCGCTCTAAGCCAAAGTCAAATGGAGGGAAAATCGAGAAAGAAAAAAACGAAATGATGGACAATTTTACACTTCCACAGAAAGAAGACAATTTCGCATCCCAGGGAGGGGGTGGATGTGAATTGGGGGTTGGGGACGGGGACTTGGAAAATTTCCATCCTACCGAGGGCTAATTTGATTGAGTTCCTGTGTTAGATGTCATAGCTCACTGACAGCTCCAATTTAACCTTTTCATCCTATTTTCGACGTGAAATTAGGACTGAACAGTTGACAATAAACAATGTAAATCTTTTGCACGTTTTTTCGCCCCAAAATAACCTGTTAATAGTATTTTACATAATCTTAATTTAGGGGATTGATTTTGAAAATGGAAATTAAATAGATTTAAAAATCAGCAAATTATTAATTATTTTAAGAAATCTAAAGGAATAATACTGATAAATCTCTTTAGAGATCCTATGAAAATCGTTATTATTTTCTAAGTAAATATTATGTATTATAGTTTCCAAGATATTTGTCCAGGGACAACTGTAAATTACAGAGACCACGACTTCTGGTTTTTTTTTCGATGGACAGGACTCGCGAATGGAGGAATGAGGGAATTCAAGAAGGATGTGGGGATGGGGATGGAGGGGTGACCCTGAGAACGGCAAATACAAAAGAACAGTTACGCGAGCGGGGAACCCAAATCCAATCGAATGCCGGGCAGAATGTAAACACAGTCGGCCTTAGCGAAAAGGAAGGAGCCAAGGAAGTGAAGTGAGCGGATCACACATGTTTAACTGAGATGAGAAGAAGAGATGAGAAGAATGCGTGGGAAGAGGGGGGCTGGAAGACGGGTCTTCGGAGTGCCAGAAGAAGAAGAGCGAATGCCAAATTTGCACATCGATCATATAGCACAAATTTCGTTTGTGGCTGTCTCTTGTCTCTCCCTTCCTTCATCCCCCCTCCTCCTTCCTCCTCATCCTGCTGCTTCCTCCTCCAAAACAAAGACACAAAAACCTATTGTGTATTGTGCGAGAAGTTTTTCGGTCTATATATATTTTTATTTTTTGTTTTTTTTTTTTTGCTCTTGGCAGGAAGATTCTTTTTCCTTCGCCCGATCTCTGTGTGTGTATAACTATGAATCATGGTAAGTGCTAACGCTGTACATATGTACGCACATATATTTATGTATGTATGTATATGTAGAGCCGAAGAATCGGGAGAAACAGGCGCAGTGGCAAAGGAAAGAGCAGCACAAAAGGAAGAAGAGAGCGAAGGAGAGAGAGCTCATTTCAAGGATTACACTGCCGTGTGCGAGCGGGACAGAGCGATCTACTGTCTTTTCTTTTTTTTTTGGAGGGAACGAGTGTATCTACAAGATACACACACGCACACGGATACACAAAGGTAGACAATTTCTACCTGGATAACCGATCAAAATCTCTGCCGAAAAAAAACACACACACAAGAAAACGAAAACGAATACGAGTACGAAAAAGAAAAGAGCCAGATAGAAACGGCGAAGCGAAAGAGGAAGGGAAGAGGCAGCGCAACATCTTGCCGAAAAATTAAAATTACAGATGGTTTGTTGCTGGATGAGCATATGTACAGGAAACCAGTTTTTATGTTCAACAAACAAAAACCAAGAAACGCACGAGTAGAAGACACACACATATAGAGATACACATACCACAAGCAGAAGAAGGAGGAGGAGCAGGGGGAGGAGAAGCAGGGGGAGGGGCAGGAGGACGGCGGCGTTATGATGACATAGCCACAATTGTTGCTGCTGCCGCAACTGGTGTTGTTGCTTTTGCCTCTGCCTTTGCCGCGAGTGTCGCGCCGGCGCAGCCCCCAAAAATCTTTTTCAAAAACCCGCCACAAAGCCGGCGAACTTAGAGCCACTTCTTGAAATCGGGGATCCCAAGTTGCAAAATATATGGAGTCCGTGGAGACGGGACGCTAATCAGTAGAACTATTCAGATAACCAAGTTCTAGTTTATAAGGTAGAATCTCTCCTCTCCCAATCTTTATAACGGCAAACCCTTATAATATCTATAGACTAATCAGTATCCCTTTTCTAACATTATACTTAATTTGTTCTACATAACATTTATTTTGAACAATTATTCCTGTATACTTTCTCCAACTTCTATAGAATCTTTAATTTTAAAATGTGTATCTACAAAACGTCATATAATAAGATAAGAAAATTATTGAAAAATTGTTATAAAACTGTTATAGCATATAAAAAAAAATCCTCGAAGAATCTATTAGAAGGGATTAAGGGATCAAGAATATTGTGCGAAAAATATATGTCTTAAAGACGGCATACGCAATCGTTTGGTGTTACATAATTTCGAAAACGAGATGTTAGATATCTGGATGCAATGCCGCGTCTTCTTTGCTACTTAAGGATGTGCATATGTTTGTCTATATCTTTATATCTGCGTCTATTTGCACCCCCTGGGCTTTGTACTTTCTGAACAATTCCCCGAGTAGAGATAGAGTGCCGTATCTTTTCGCCCCCGGGGCGAAAAAGGAGGAAATGCAGAGCAAAAGATACTTGAACATGTGTTGGCGCGATGTTTGCACGCTGCGAAATTCAAAGTTTGAAATCTGAAATCCCAGATCAGATTCAGATGCCGATGCTTCGCTCAGAGATTCGGAATCCTTTGTCCCGAAGATCCTTGGGCATCGGGAAGCCAGTTGCCGCACACAAACACGTTCTCTGTATCTGTATCTTTGTGTGTATCTACACATGTCTCGCTTGTCCCTCGTTCTCATTCTCATCTTTATTCTCATTCCGATTCCGATTCCCTGCCTCTGCTTCGCTTCTTTCTTCGCAAAAATTGAGCCTCGTACAACAAGAAATCTCTTTCTTAGCCGAACTCCGAATTCGGATTCGGAATCTCAACCTCAACAACCGAGACAGCGAAACACATAAAAACAGAGAGAAGAAAAAACGGCATCGAAAAATAAATATTAAAGACACGGACACGCACGTAATTTCTTTGGAACTAGCAGCGAAGAACAGCAGAAACCACAATGAATTTCTACAAAAATAATTAAGAAAAAAAGGAGGGGAGGGAAAAAAACGAAAACCCATATGTACATTTATTTAAAACTTTATGGCCTATGGTTGTCAAGGCGAGGCCAAAAGAAAAACTCTGGCCAAAACGAGGTCTGCAAAAACAAAATACAAGAGTCCAAATTACACCAATCCAAACTGAAAAAAGAAATAACTGAAAAATAAGATGGAGCAATCAAATAAAGAAAAACATAATTTGCGTAATTTTCACTTTTTTTTTGGTTTTGTTTATATTTGTCATTTAAAAAAAAATTGTAGGCGTGCCAAAGGGGAAAGCGTTAAATTGGTTAACAATTAAAATAAAAAAAAATAATTACAAACAAGATTTAAGAGTGGGAAATCGGATGGGATAGTGGGGATACAATGAGAACTTTAAATAATTACAATTGGTTTTATTGGCGGAACATAAGTTAGGGGCAACTAATCGTAATAAATATATAGGTATATAATAATACGCGAATATGTGTGCGTCTGTTTTGTGGCTTAGAAACATAATAATATCCCTGATTTAGCATTTTCTTGAGTTCTTCCTTCCTTTGCTATGACAATTTGGCGTTTTTAAGGCTAACACATATATGCGTATATATATGCGCTTGTCTAGTAACTAGATATAGTATATATATATCAATTGGCATATAGTTGCTGATTTTTAGTTTACATATCGTGTATATGGCATTCGTTTGTGGTTCTTTCTCTCGATTACAAAACATAATTAATAATCAAATAGTCAAATAATCAAATAATAATTAAACAAGCTACAAATTAGAGTACGACAAAAAAAAGAGTGCTAAAACTAGTGTTTACATATAGGGTGGTGTGTGGAATATGTATAAATATCTAATATAATAATATAATGTATGTATAGGCGCCCTGATTTTAAGCGTTTTCGTGGACTGCTGTTGCTGAGGTATACTTGATGGTTTACACGTACAAATAAGGCTTTACAAATAGGGATCGTAATGGTACAAATAATAATAATACAGTTTTAACATAGGTACAAATAAAATTAAATAAAATAATTTGCTGCTACAACAATTAGGAATTCTGTCTTCTGTCTTTCTGTCTTTTTTTCAATCGTTTCACATGGCAAACTCAATACAAGTTACAGGAATGGATATGGATTTTCGGGGATTTCGGGGATCCAGACTCTAAGTTATTGAAATGCTGCGGCTTTGCGTTCAATTCCAAGTACTTTCGTGTTTACCCAAACGGCAAAAAATAAGCAAAAACATCGAATTATTGCTTGCCAGGCAATAAAGTGTGTTTTCCTAATAGAACTCCCCAAAAAACTCAACTGCAGAGCCGCTCGAACTGCTTGGGCAGCCCAAGCCGCGCTCAGTTGCCCTCCGCGAAGCTCAAAGCCCAGGAGCATTTCAAAACCTCGATTCTTCCGGCGTCTCAGTACAACTCTATGCTCTTCTCGATCATCTGAAACTCCTCCTCCGCGAACTCGCTCTTGATCATCAGGTGGTGATCGCTGAGCTCCTCCTCCTCCTCCTCCTCCTCCTCCAGCATCTCCATCTCCATCTCGTCCTCGTCCTCCTCCAGCAGGCTGTCATCGTCGGCGGCCACATCGTCAATGGGCCGCTTCAGACTGAGGCTGCTGGCGGGGATTAGGCCCGGATTGACGACCATCTGGTTGGCGGTAGGAGCAAGAGCAAGAGCAGGAGCTGCAAAGGCCGCCTTGATGGAGCCGACAGCTGGGACCGCCGAGGCATTGGCCGCCGCTGCTGCTGCTGCCGCTGCTGCCGCGGCTGACTTCTTGCCCACCACCCGCGGACGATTGTGCGTCTCGAGATGCTTGCGCAGATGATCCTTGCGACAGAAGCCCTTCTCGCAAATGTCGCACATATGCTGCTTCAGCCCCGTGTGAATGGCCTCCACGTGGCGGCGCAGATCGGTCTTGTGGTGGAACTGCTTGGGGCACAGCTCGCACTTGTGCGGCTTGTCCTGGGTGCGGTGGCGCCCCAAATGCGTCGTGTAGACCTCCTCGCTCTGGAAGCGCTTGCCGCACTTCTGGCAGCGGAACGGGTACTCACCGGAGTGGAAGCTCTTGTTGTGCTGCGTGAGGTAGCAGTTCTTGGTGAACTCCTTGTCGCACTCCAGACACTTGATGCGTCCCGATGGCAGGGTAGTGGAATGCGGCGACGTTGAGCCCACGCTGCTGTTCCGCCGTCGCTTCGTCGTCGAGGGAGTGGCGGCGGCGGCGGCGCCACGTCGCTTCTTGCTCGATGGCTGCTGGGATTGTAGCTGCATCTGGGATTGATCTGCCATCATTTGCTGCTGCTGCTGTTGCTGCTGCTCCATCATTTGCTGCTGCTGCTGCTGCAGTTGCTCCAGTTGGTGGTGCTGCAGCTGGTGGTACTGCTCCATCTCGTAGCTCTCCTGCTGCTGCTGCTGCATCATCACCATGTCCATCTCCAAAGCGGGAGTGGCCCGCGAGCTGCTCACCGTGGGCGAGTAGGGCGTGGAGAGCACCGTCAGCGTCGGCGTCTGCGCCTCCTGCTGGCCGCCCTGCTGATGGGCGTGCAGGGCGGTGGTGAGCGTGTGCACGGGCGGCAGGTCGCCCTCCTGCGGCGATCGCTGGGCGGCCACCGAGTACGGCGAGATGGGCGCATAGGGGGCGAACAGGGAGGCGGGCATTAGCTGCAGGATCTGGCCATCGCTGGCATAGCTCCCTGTTCCCCCTCCCCCCTCCGAAGCTGAGTTACTACCAATAATAGTGTGATAGCTCATTGTGGGGTCCAGCGGCTGCAGCTGCTGGTAGCATTGCGGCGGCGGCGGCATGATGGGCATGTGCATGGTGGGCGGCATGGGCATGGTGCTGGTGATGTGCGGCGGCGGCGGCGGCTGCAGCGGCAGCAGCTGCGGCGGCGCTGTGATGGTGGTGAGCGGCATGGGCATGGCTATGGGCGGCGGCGGCGGCGGGGAGCTGCTGGTGGGCGAACTGCTGCTGTGGGGCAAACTGTCCGCCAGGATTAGCGCCTGCTGCTGCTGCTGATGATGCTGCTGATCCAGTTGGAGAAGCTCCCGCTGCTGCTGCTGCTCCTCCTCCTGGTGCTGCTGCTCCAGCTGCTGCTGCTGGTGGAGCACCGCCTGGTGGTAGTGGTGGTGCACCAGCTGCTGCTGCGGCGGCTGCATAGTGGCCGGCATACTGGTGGTGATGGTAGTAGCTAGCGGCGTGGTGCTGGTGCTGCTGCACTGCAGCATACTGCTGTGCATGAGCGTGGGCATGGGCATGGGCATGGGCATATCCAAAGCCAGCATGTTGTAGTCCATTGCCATAGGCGGCAGCATTCCCATAGGCGGCAGCGGCTGCGGCGGCGGAGGGGTGGTGGGCTGCGAGAAATCCTGCGTTTCCAGCGGCTCCTGCCGGTAGATAGTATGGGGTGAGTTGGGATTGGTGTTGCTGCTGCTGCTGCTGCTGTTGCTGTTGGGTGTGCTGCTGTGATAGTGGCGCGATGTTAGAAGATACTGCGGATGATGCTGCTGCTGCTGCTGCTGCAGGTGATCTTCCTCCTGCTCCTCCGCCTCCTCCGTGGCCATTGAGCTGCTGCTGCTGTTGCTGTGGCTCCTGTTGTCCTGGTTGTTGTGATTGCTGTCCTCCACTTGCTCGCTCTTTGTAGCTACCGTGGTGGCCGCCGTTGTTGCCGTTGCCGTTGCTGTTGCTGTGGTTGGTGGTGCTCGGGTTGTTGTTGGTGGTGGCGGCGTGGTTGTTGTTTCGTTCAGCAGGCCCCTCATTTGGGAGGACGGCATTTGGGTGGTGTTGTTGTTGTTGTGTGGGGCGGAGGGACCTGCTAGCCCGTTTGGGTGACCGTTCAAAACGGAGTTGTGGTGCTGCTGCGGCATCTGTTGCTGCTGCTGCTGGTGGTGCTGCTGCTGTTGCTGCTGCTGTTGGTTGTTGGAAGCGTGCTGTGGTGAAGCGTTTGTCGTGGATTGCACTTGTTGCTGCATGTAGCCGTAGCCATTGGCGGTGCCATTAGCATAGCCATTCGCCTGCTGCTGCTGCTGATGGTGGTGGTTGAGGTGGTGCTGCTGCTGCTGCTGGGTGGGCGATGGCGAGGCCGAGTACTGGGACATGGCAGCGACATGACCTCCTCCTCCTCCTCCGCCGCCATAATCGGGCGGACTTCTGGGCGGCTCCGGCGGCGGCACATTGGCCGGCGGCGGCGGTGCTACCGGCGGCTGTTGTTGACCGGCTGAAGCGGCAGCTGCTGCTGCGGCAGCGGCGGCGGCAGCAGCGGCAGTGCCCCGGCGACTGGGCTTCGTCACCGGATCGCGGGCGGGATGATGGTGCGCCGAAATGGGCAGCGTCGCCGGATCCGGCTGGCCGCTCGACTTCACCGCATTCTTGTGCAGCGTCGTGTTGTAGTGCCGCTTGAGGTGGCCCGAGCTGGTGAACCACTTGTTGCACGCCGTGCAGTTGTAGGTCTTCGGGCGGCGCGCCTCGTTCGACTTCCAGGTGGCCGCCTTGGCGGTCAGGCTGTTGGCCGGCAGCACCGAACTGGAGCTGGGCGGCTCGAAGCCGCGGTAGCCGTTGCCGGGAGCAGCTCCCGCCCCGCTTTCCTGCCCCGGACCGCCGGTGGTGGTGCTGGGAAACTCCGCCGGACTGGTGGCCACACTGGCGCATAACTCCGATCCTCCTGCTCCTCCTCCTCCTGCTGTGGGATCAAACGACTTGTCCACATAGTGCTGCGAATCGGGATACTCGGACTTGATGAGTCCATGGCCGCCGTACTCCTGCTTGATCAGCGTGGCTCCGCCAACGCCGGCCGACTGGTGGTAGGGCGACTGCTTGGGCGAATAGTAGGGCGACTTGTCTACGCCGAGGCCCACGCCCAATCCCTGCTGCATGTAGGGCGGCAAACCCTCCACGGAGGCCACCTGCGGCTGGTGCTCCCAGCTGTGGAGCGCCCGCTGCTGCATGGACTGCATCGAGTGCAGCGGATCGGGGAGAGCGCCCAGCGGCAGGCCGGCGACCGCCTCGTGCTGCTGCTGCTGTTGCTGCTGCTGCTGCTGGAGCAACTGCTGGTGGTAGACCATCTTTTGGGAGTCCAAATCGAGCAGCTCGCCGGGATTAGCAGATGCCGGTGGCTGCGGCGTGGGCATCTCCTCCTTGATGTACGGCGAACTGGCGTAGCCGCTGCTCCCGTACGGCGACTCTCCGTGCACATTGGCTATGTGCTCCTGCAGCTCCGACTCGTTGGTGGTGAGGATGCCGCACTTTTTGCACTGCAGCTTGCAGCCGCCGCTGCCGGAGGCTCCTCCTCCGCCCGGGGAACCGGGCGTCTGGCCACTGGCGCTGCCACCGAGCTGCAAGTGCGAGGACGTCGACGTGGGACTGCTGCTGCTGACCACGCGCGGACTCATGGCCACCGCGGTGGTGGTGCTCACGGCACTGGGCACAGCCTCCTCCTGCTGCTGCTGCTGGGCACTTCCTCCTGGAGGCAGGCCTCCCAGGGAGGTGGGCGTCTGCAGGTAGGGATGATAGCGCACTCCCGCACTCTTGGCGTAGTCCACCCCGAAGGCGTAGTCGCTGCCCTGCTGCTGCTGCTGTTGCTGCTGGTAGAACTGCTCGTAGCTGTTGATGTAGCTGCTGGCGTAGCCCTGCTGCTGCTGCTGCTGCTGCTGTTGCATCTCCCCGCCGTAGAGGCCGCCGTAGATCTGCTGCTGCTGCTGCTGCTGCTGCGGCGGCTGCTGCTGTCCGCCGGCTGCGGAGTACATGTGATGGGTGGCGTACGGCTGGTGGGTGATGCCCGTCACCTGGGGATCGGTGCCCATGGGTTGCTGCTGCTGCTGTTGCGCCTGTGGCTGTTGCAACTGCTGCTGTTGCGGGGGCTGCGGCGTGCCGGGCTGGTTATCACTGGAGTCGGCGGCGGCACTGATTGTGGCATTGGGCGTGGCGGGCGCACTGCCTCCGGTTCCGCCTCCTGATCCTCCCCCTGCTGATCCTCCTCCTCCTCCTCCTCCCCCTCCGCCGTCGCTGCTAACGGCGAGCGCCTCTGCCGCGTGCAGGGGCGGCATCTCGGTCTTAATGCTCGTCATGGACCGCTACATATGTCGGTGCTCCTCTTCTCATTTCTCGCGCTCTCTCCGGGATTAGCGGCGCATCATCTGCTGCTCCTCCTCCTCCTCTCTCTCCCTCTCTCTCCCTTTTTCGTTGGCTCTTTTTCTGGAGCCGTTCGTTTTGTTTTGTTTTTAATTTACTTGTTGTTTTTAGTTGTTAATTTTTGTATTTGTACTGAAAGTAAGCCAATTATTTTGAAGCCATTATTAATTTGAAGTTAGGAAAAAAAAAACAGTGCTTAAAAAAACAAACACGCACACACGCTGTTGCGAAAGCTTCGCCGTCTAACGGTTCTTGGTGTCCATTTCACTTTGATTCGGTTTCTGGCACTTTTATTTGGCTTGGATCGTGAAATTCAATAGCCTCGGATTCGTAATGTCAACTGCAATTGTTTTTGTGGCTCACACACACACACACACACACACTTGAAAAAAATTCAGGATCCTCGCTGAAGATCCCTTTTTTCTTTGGTTCTCTTTTACGCTTCTTACTTATCTGCGCCTCGCCTTGGGCACTTCTTCGTTGGACTTGGACTGCTTCTCCTGCTGCTGCTGCTGCTTCGCTCCGCTCTCCGTCGCTCTCTCCGCTCTCTGGGCTCGGCGAAGAAACACAAAACAGCAGACTCGATAAATAATACGAACTGAAGAAACCAATATCGGAACCGAAACGAAACGAATGCGAAATATGCTGGGTAATTTTGAATTTTGAATTTTGTTTTTGCGAATGCGAATGCGAGAATTCTCTCTCTCCCGATCTCTCTCTCACTCTCTCGCCACTTTACCGGTGAGTTTGGCTTTGGCTTTGGGTTTGGGTTCTTTTCCAAAAGATCACTGGAATTCGCGTTGTTTATCGTTTATCGGGGATCGCATCGAACAGAAAAAAATTGTTTACGAACACAAATATTACGGAGTACACCAAGTGTATTCCCGCGTTTAGAATCGCGTTGTTTTAGTTTAGATTTGTTTGTTGCTTTGCCGAAATGTTGTTGCCAAAATGTTGCTTTTGTGAGCGGGGGAAAATGAAACAAAAAAGGGCGCTAAGCTCCACTCCGTTCGCACGCTTCGTCGCTTGTTCACCCGTGTCCTTCTGTCTGCTACGGCGTTCCAAATACAAATGACCGACACCGCCGTGCATGCGGCCCATTCTGCCCGCGGCGGCTGCGACGGCGGCCGAGGCTGCGGCGCCGGCAGCGCTCGGGCGGCGCAGTCGACGCACATGCGTGGCTGTGTGTGTGCGCTATGTACTGCGCGGCGGCGTTTCGCTTATGTGCGTCTGTATGTGCGACCGCCGCTGTCGCCGTCTCTGTCGCGCACCGCCGCCGCTGCATTTGCCTTTGATTTTGCCATTGCCTTTGCTATTGCTATTGCCTTTGCTTTTGCCTTTGCATTTCCTTGGGCCCTGCGTTCCGTTACCCCTATACCTCGATTTTGGTCGGAATTACAAGCCTATAATTTATTCTCTTTTACCAATCTGGTATTTATCTATGTAACTATATTGACAAAAGAAGGATCCCACCAAAAATTTAGTATTTTTAATTTTAATTTTTTAGGATATTTTAGAAAGATCAGATCTTATTTTAAATGTAAGTTTAGACCTTGTACTAAATTTATTAAGTTCCTATACACGTAATATGAAATTTAATAAATAAAAAGGACTTTAAAGCAATTCTTTTGTTTTGGAAAACCTACCTTTTAAGATCCCGATAAATCTGAACCAATTATAACTGGTATTGTCGAGTTTCCCTGCACTTAGATACTTTTGTATGGAATAGTTTCTGCATAAATACATTTTTGTTTACCTGAATCTCCAAATGCATTATTTATTTATGTATTCTTGGGTAGTAAAAAAATATATATAATTCCTCAGAAGTTTCCATGTGTTTATAATTTCAATAGTTTCAAACATTAATGTTAAAACAATTAATCAAATTATCAAATATTTTTAATTATACGTACAATGTATCATTATAAAAAGTAGTTCGCTGGTATTTAACTTCTGGAATTGTTTTAAAAGTCCGGAACTCATTAGTGGGCCCTTTTAGCGATCAATCCATTACCATATCGCGACTTGGCTAACTCAAAGCTGTGTTGCAGTCTAGTTTGTTTGTTTTATTTAGCATTCGCCTCGATATGAAAAGCGGCCTATTAATGGGCTCCCACAGGCCCGGAATTAGTCAGAAGTTGACTCACTGGACCGGGCCAAGACCAATTCGCACTACTAGCCTAGTTTCTGAGCCGCGTCCAAAGATTATCGGCGTCACTGGTCTCGTAAAAGTTTTCAACGCCTCAAAAATTAATAAACCAAACTTTTATAACGTTGGACACACAAAAGCTAATAATAAATTGAAGAGAACGATGTTGTTTGGAGTGCCACGACTATGATATGCCCACTATACAGTAAATACCTAAAATAATTTTATGTTTTATTTAAAAGTTTTTTCAAAATCATTTTTTTGCATTAAAATACTTGACAGATTTTCAAGATTTTAAAGGAAAGTAGTCGAGATCACTAAGAACCAGCTCTTATATTTCCCAAATTTACATAGGTAAATCTATGGCTATACTACTATTCTATAAATAGCGACGAAAAGGTTTTGCGCTTTGGATTCGGAAGTATCTAAGGTTTTCACGTCGTTCTTTTTTTTTCTGCCGTTCATCTGGTTTGGGATTCAAACTCAGTTGAGAATGGCCCAAAAGTATTTAAAAATCTCGTAAGAGAAAAGGCGAGGGCTAATGGAGCCGAGATACGAATACAACATCCACACAGATACGACTCCGCCGTGGGGTTGTGTGAGTGGGGCCTTGAGGAAGAGTTTAGATTGGAGTAGTGGAGAGTGGAGAGCGGAGAAGACCGAAAGAGCAAGAGAGAGGCAAAGAACCGAGGCGAAGGGTGCGACAGAGAGGCCCGAAATTTACATACATGATTGTCATAAAAAATCAGCAAGCAAATTGTCAAATCCCTAAACTGACAATAAAACAATAAAGAAAACGAAGACGGCGATGAAGAGGAAGACGCAGGCGAGGTCGTCGACGAAAGTGGGTGGAAGTGGTGGGGGAGGGGGAGGGGAGTGGACAGGGGGGGTTGACGATGAGGGCTCCAGAACGAACGGATGGCGATGAGTGATTGGCAGTGAAGCGGGCTGTAAGTCCCGAAAAAGATCTGCGATTTCATGGATCTGTAAGATGGTACAAATGGTAACTTTAAAAATAATACCTATGTACCTAAAAAAAATATATTATTTTATTTGGGATTCTTTTTATACGAACTTTTTACCTATATAATATATATTCTAAATAATTTATATTTCTTTAGATATTATAATTTAAATGTAATATTACTCATATTACCTCGTTTAGGCCTTCAAAAGAGCTAACATTTTAATAAAAAAAAACTCTGCAAATTAAAAAAACATCCCCAGGATTAAAAAAAAATTAAAACTTTTAGGATATAATATGACTTTTGAAAAGTGTAGTTCTGTAAAAGTGAATTGTTTAAATGTTTAAAAAACACTTAAAAACCAACCCCTCCGTTTGGTAATAATATGTATGTAAGTATGTACCTCCATACGTTCATACAATGTTGTAAGCATATGTTGCTTGTAAAGACGGGCGAAAAGTGGCAGGTGGCAAGGAGGTAGGAGGAAAACGCAAAAGCTGATGCAACTGTTGCAAGCAGTCGACTGCAGTGGGATTAGCCCACTTTATGGCGCATTTATATTTATGGGCACGCAACAGTTGACCTGCAGTTCTGCAGTCGCAGGACTTGAGCCCCAGGTAGGTCATCTTCGCTCTCCGGCTTAAGGAAAGCAGCAATTAATTAACCTCTATAATGGTTGTAATTACCATGAAGAACCAGTAAGAGAACTTGGCCATAAATAAACGAAGATACGATGCTTTATATTTTTGATACAAATAAATGTGCTAAAAATAGAACAAAAATCATTCATTTACATTTTAATAATCATTTGTTAAGATAAAATTAAGACAATTAAGACAATGCTAAAACCACTAAAAATAACCAAGTTTTTTCGAATAAATGGTTCTTCAATATAAAATTTACCATTAATATTGATACATTTTTCTTAGACCCAGGATGTTTCCAAGGAAGAAACTGAATTAAGAATCAAATTGTGCTAATGGTATTATTTTTATCACAATTATTTCTTTCCTGAGCATGGTATGGTGGTCTGCAAATAGCACGGTGAACAAATCACATTCAATGACTTCAGAGTACCTGAGTTTTTGGGCCAACCACCTGCAGAATTGGATATGTCATCCCTGCTACTTGAGGAATTCTGCGCAGAGTTTCTTCACCACAGGCCTCGGTGTCCGACTGGGTAATTGCAAGGTGCGTGCAGCGATATATCTCAGCTATCTGCCATATCTGCCGATATATCTGGACGGACAGACGGACGGACAGCCGTACGGACAGACGGGGGAGGGAGGAACGGGGGTGGATCTTGCGTGCTGGTGTCAATCACAGTCCTTCTATCGTTCGGTTTTCGGCTTTCGGTTTTTGGTCCCTCTGCGTGCAACACACTTGTGTGCTGCAGTTAATGACTTTTTAATTGAGCGCGTACAGATATCAGTGCCAGCGCCGTCACTTTTTTTTTTTGTATTGTCCGGGCCTGAAAATCGTAGGCAGAGAAAAAGGCAGCTTAAGTTGGAATTTTCAAAAATATATTTCTTAGTGCCGGGACATTGCTACAACATTTTCCGAATCGTAGAAATCCTAGCCAATTCTTGATAATATATTTTCTTCAATATTCCAGTAGTCGTCGAGGCAAGTTAAGCGTACAATGTATTTCTACTTATGTCCCGTGAGGAATCCCTTAAATCTCCTTAAAAATTAAAATATATCTACTGGAAAGTCACAGAATTCTTTTCCAGACAAAATCATCCAATAATATTCTTTTGTAGAACCTTCATCTTTTTCGTGTACAACTGCAAAAGCTTTAGGATTATATCGCTAGTGAATGTTGAACGTGTTTTGTGAGAATATTACATACAAAGGTGTACGACAACCTAGTATTTGCTCTTCACACGACAATTGTGAGTTACACTGAAAGAAATGCTCTTTTGTCCTCTTGTATCTTATAAGAAACACAGTCATATTTTCGTATCCCAGCCTGTAAAGAATACATATTCCTGATCAGTTAAAATATAATAAGCAAGCGATAGAAAAATTTTAATTAATTGAATTTAATTTTTGGCCTAATATGTCATATTTTTTTTTTTGTAGGTTTCTACGAATATTTAGTTTGGAAGATTTGCAGATCGAATTGATCTGGAAACTGTAACTGGAAAGGGTATCAGGGTATCTAAAAGTCGGATAGCTTTACAAAATATCTTCTTCTTTTCATTATTATTATTAATATTATTATTATTTTGTGCGGATCGTTGTGGTGGGCCATTGTTTTTGTTGTTGTTGGGTTTGTTGGCTTGTTTGCTTGTCGGTTGTTTGCTCCCCTCCCCTTCCCCTCCCCTCTTTCGTTTCCTCCTCTCCGTTTTGTTTGCCTTGTCCGACACTTCTTCTTCTTGTTCGTTTTCGTTCTCTTCATCTTCGCTCTCTTCTTCTTTCTCAGTTGAGTTTCTCATTTGCATATTTTCAAAGATTTGCCAGTTACGATTTCAATTACGCGCTAGAAGAAATGAGAGCGAAAGAGAGGGGAGGTGGGGGTGGCCAGAAGAAAGAGGCGGAGAAAGAGGAGATCGAGGAGAGTCGCAGTTAAAGGTATGAAATGCGAACAGTCGGCAAGCAAAAGCAAAATTATTATTATTTTTGAGCCCCTTAAAACAGGGTGAAAAGCGAGAAAAATATCACAAAAAAAAAAACTAAGTACACACACACTCGCACACGAATGCCGATGGAAAAACACAATGGACAACTAAGCCAAACCAAAACAACAAAACGAGCGACAAATGCTGCTCGATCATAATTGAAAAATGCATGCTAGCCAGCAAAAACAATAACAAAAGCGCAACAACAACACGGCAGCAGCAACAGCTATGGGAAAACAACAAAGCGGAGAGAGAAAAAAAAACAGCAGATGCACAACGCACCAACAACAAAAATGCCATCGCATATTTTTAACAGAGGGTGGGAAAGAG